ACCCCCCCTCAACGTGGAGGTGCCCCCCCGAGGCACCCCGTGGGTGCTGCTGCACACTGGGTGCCACTAAGGGGTCAGTGCCCCCTCCTGGGTGTTATTGCCCCCCCTCCCGGGGGTGCTGGAGGGGCCCTTAGGGGTTAATACCCCCCCCCAGGCATTGAGGACCCCCTCAGCACCCTCAGGCCCCCCAGGGTGCCCCAAGGGGGTTAATGCCCCCCTCATGTCACTATTTCCTCCTTAAGGGCCACCTGGGGGGGGGCGGGGCCTGGCGGGGCCCTTAAGGGGTTAATACCCCCCTCAGGGGCATTAATGGCGGCCTGGTCACCCCTAAGGGGTTAATACCCCCCTTAAAGGGCCCCTCAGGCGTTAGAGCCGCCCCCCCCAAGTGGTAATGCCCTGGGGGGGGCATTAATATTAATACCAATACCCCCCCCGGGCATTAACACTGCCTGTGTCATTAATGTCCCCCGCATGTCACCCCAAGGGCGTTAATGCCCCCCGCCCCCCAGGTGTTAATACCCCCGGGGGGGTTGTCTCCCCCCGGGGGGGGGTTCTTGCCCTCCCCCCCCCCGTGCAGACAAAGGCGGCAGCGCGGGGGGGGCGGCGGGAGTCCCGGGGGGGGGGGGGGGTAACGGCGGGGGCACAAAGGGCCGCGCGGGGCGGGGCGGCGGCGCGCGGGGGGTTAACGGGCCCGTCGCCATGGCAGCGCGGGGTGGGGGGGCCTTAAAGGGGCCGCGCCGCACGCGGGGCGCACTTAAAGGGGCCGCGCGGGGCGGAGGGGGGGACCCGCTGCGAGGCCGGGGCGGGCTGCCGCATTGCAGGACATGGAGCCCGGCCTGTCCCCGCCCCGGGCTGTGGGGCCTGCCCCACTGCAGCCTGTCCCGTTGTGGCTCGGGAAGGGCTGCGGTCACGGGAGTGGGGCTGGGGGGCTGCCCCACGGCGGCCATGGGAGCTGCCAGGGCCGTCCCTGCCGCCCCATTGCAGGGCTGCGCCCTGGGGCCCCGCGCGCCAGCGTGGCAGGGCCGGGGGCTGCCCCGGGCATGGGGCTGGGGGCTGCCCCGCTGCGGTGCTGCCCCGCGGCCAGCCCCCCGCGCGGAGGGCGAGGGCCGCCCCACGTGGCGCCGCTTCCGTCACCGCGCGGCGGCCGCGGCGCCCCGGGGCCTTCCCCGCGTGGGGGACGCGCTGTGCGTGTGGGTCCAAACTGCGCCAAAGCCGCCAACGTGGAGGCGGCCGCGGCCGCCCGGCTCCTCCCGGCACCGCAGCGCAGGAAATGCAGCGGGGAGGGGGGGCAGGACGCGCTGCTCGCGGGCAGGTGCCACCCAGGGGCGGTCCCGGCCCCGCCGGCTGCGGATCCCGCCTGCAGCCGGGTCCTGCTGTCCGCTGCCCCAGCGTGCGGGGACGCGCAGCCCGCCTCGGGAGGCTCCCGAGCTGCTTGACGTTGTGCCCAGCGTTGGTGTCCCCGGGGGTGAAACGTGGGCCGGTAGCGGGCCCGGCGGTGCCGCTTGGCTCCTTGTCCCCACTGCCCGGCCTCCCTGCAGCTCACACGACACTCACCGCAATTCCCCCCGAGCCCCCAGGATGTGGCCAGGCCAAGGCCGGGATGGGTTGGAAAGCCGGGAAAGCCGCGGGGCCGGCGCGGCAAACGCGGTGCTGCTCCGTTTCAGCTCCTGGCGCGCATCGAGCGCATGGAAAGGCGCGTGCAGCTGGTGAAGAAAGACACGGAGCGGGAGAAGCACCGCATCTTCCAGGGCTTCGAGGTGGACGAGAAGGCCGAGGCCGAGGCGTGCGAGAAGCTGCCGCTGGAGTGTCCGCGCGAGCTGCTGGAGCCCTCGCAGACCCTGCCGCCCAAGCACTTCCCCTACGGCCGCAATGGCAAGGGCCATAAGAGGTACGGGGGGGTCCCGGCATTCCCACGGCATTCCCGCGCCGTTCCCTCTGCTCACGTGCTGCCTCGGCCCGCAGGAAGCCGCCGTTCGGCAGCGCCGAGAGGAAGACGCCCGTGAAGAAGCTGGTGTCCGAATTCTCCAAAGTGAAGAGCAAGAGCCTCAAACACTCTCCGGGCAAAGAGGAGTCGAGCGGCTCCTTGTCCGAAACTGTTTGCAAACGAGAACTGCGGAGCCAGGAGACTCCGGAGAAAAGCCGCTCGCTCCTGGAGACGCCGCTGCGGCCCGCGGCGCCGCTCAAGGGGGCCGGCGCCCACGCCAAGGAGAAGGGCTTCCCGAGCGAGGCCGAGGACCTGCCCTACCTGACGACCACGGAAATGTACCTGTGCCGCTGGCACCAGCCGCCGCCGTCGCCGCTGCGGGAGCCCTCCCCGAAGAAGGAGGAGACCGTAGCAAGTAAGGACGGGGCGGCCGCGGCGGCCTCCCGCGACGCGAGATAACAGCGGCACCACGTTCCTCTGGGTTTATTCCGGTGGCCCTGGCTGCCTCTCCGTGTGGCACCGGGCGTCAGCCCGCACTTCTCCTGCGGGCTTCCCGGGAATGCCTTTGCTGGCGGCAAAGCCCCGCAGGGTGTAGCCGGGCGGCAGCCGAGGCGAGGGCTCCGTGCCGGGGGCATCGCCGGCGTTGGGGCTGGCGCCGTCGCCGCGTCGGCCGCGTGCCCGACCCACGTGGGCAGGGGGGCTGTGGGTGCCAGCCCGTTAATGCCCCCCTCTCCCCACGCAGTTCCGTCGTGGAGGGACCATGTCGTGGAGCCCCTGCGGGACCCCAACCCCTCCGACCTCCTGGAGGTAGGTGGCCGCTCCGGAACCCAGGCTCTCCTGCCGGTCCCTTCTGCTCTCCTGGTTCATCCCCAGTGCTTCGTTCCCCTCGAGGGCCGGGTGGGAAGAGCCGAGCGCTCCTCTCCGTTTCCTTCCTTGCAGAATCTAGATGACAGCGTGTTTTCCAAACGGCACGCGAAGCTGGAGCTGGATGAGAAGAGGAGGAAAAGGTAGGAAAGAAAGGGGTGGCGCGGGTGCCTCAGTTGCAGGCACGGAGCAGGATGGGATTTGGCAGCTCCGGCTGCGGCAGGGGCAGAGACTTTGGGAGAGGGGAGCAGGAGCCTGCAGCAGAGCGGGCGTCACAGCCTGTCCCACCATGGCTCCTTACGGTCCCCCCTTTCCCAGGTGGGACATCCAACGGATCAGGGAACAACGGATGCTGCAGCGGCTGCAGCTGCGGATGTACAGGCGCAAAGGCATCCAGGAGTCGGAGCCCGAAGTTACCTCATTTTTCCCTGAGCCAGATGACGGTGAGTTCAGCTGCCGGGGCGGGGGGCTCGGGACGGCAGCGGGGGCCCCATAACGGTGCCGTGTCCCCCCCCGCAGTGGAGAGCTTGCTCATCACCCCCTACCTGCCCGTCGTCGCCTTCGGCCGCCCGCTGCCAAAGCTCACGCCGCAGTGAGTACCCGCTGCTCGAGACCCTGGCCTTTCGGGGGGTTTCTTTCTTTGCAAACGATAAATCCCGGGGTGCAGGGGCTGCTTCTGGGCTCCCCGCACCGAGGGCTGTCCCTGAGCGCCGGCTCTTCCCGCAGGAATTTCGAGCTGCCCTGGCTGGACGAGCGGAGCCGCTGCCGCCTCGAGGTGCAGAAGAAGCAGACGCCGCACCGGACGTGCCGCAAATAACGGCGCGGCGGGAGCCGGCGGCCGCTCCGTGCGCCCGCGGGCTCCCGGCCCTCTGCGCCCCTCGCCCGGGGGTCGCGCTCCCCCCGTGCCCCCGGTTTTGTTCTCGGTTTTTTCAACGTTTTTCCCCCCGCGCCCCGGTCCTGCTTTGAGCCGGCCGAGGTTTCTCCTCCTGTTGTTGTTCCTGTGGCCGCAGCGGCGGCCGCTCCGGCTCTGGTCCCGCAGCGGCGCCGGGCGCTCCCGGAGGCTCCGCGTGGCCCCGTTGCCCTCCCCTCGCCAGGCAGGCGCCCGGGGCTCCGGCCCCTTTCTCCTGTTTGTCCCTGAATTTTCCGCCCCCCTGGCTCAGTGCGAGGGGTGGCAGCGGGCTGGGAAGGGAGACTTGAGAAAGAAATAGAAGAGAGAAAAAAAAAAGACATTTTTTGTGAAATAGAAATTCTCTACGCACAATTATTTTTTGTTTCCTCTAATTTAAGCATTGGGGCGCCCCTCCCTGCCCCTCTCGTGCCCCCCTTGCTTGGCCAGGGCCCTTTCCGGGTCTCCGCTTCGCCCACGGCCCCACGTGTCCCGCTGTCCCCCCCGCCCCGGCCTGCAGGAGCCGGGACCCCCCGGAGCGCCACCGGGACCCCCCGGAGCGACACCCCGACGGCTCCCGGGCCCACACTGTGAAACGGGGCGGGGGGGGGGCGCCTCCCCCCGGCCCCCCCGGCGCTTTTCCTTGGCGCGGCCGCGGGGAAACCTGTTAAAACCCCAAAACCCCAGGGAAGTCACCCACCGTGACGGCTCCGTGCCCTTTCCCGCCTCGTTCTGCGCCCCCTCCYCGTCCCTTGCCCCCCCCCCCCATACTTTTATACCATTTCTAATGTGTAAAATGGGTTGTCTTGTAAATATCTTATTAAAAAACAAGCAAAAAAAATTGCAAAAAAAAAAAAAAAGATAAAGTTGGTTGTAAATAAAGGCTCTGGTGGCCGGTTGTTGAGCCGGGGCTCGCGCAGTGTTTTTGGGGCCGTTTGTGGTGGTTTTGGGGGCGGCCTCCGCTTCCCTCCGCATTCCAGCGTGTATTGTTATTGCTATTTTTAATTATTATTATTATTTTTTACAATAAAGGACTAAAACGATGGCGCTGTCCTCTCCCTCGCGCCGTGACGTCAGCGCCGCGCAGTGACGTCACCACCGCACCGTGACGTCAGCGCGCGGCGCGCGCCTGCCCCCTGCTGGGAGGAGGGGGAGCGAGAGGGGTGGGGGCGGCGGCGGTAGGAGGGGCCACTTCCTGCCGCGGGGGCCGCCGGGCGGGCGCGGGGGCCGCCGGGAGCTGTAGTACGCCCCGTGGTGCCCCGCGGCGGCGCAAGATGGCGGACCGGCGGCGGCAGCGCGCCTCGCAGGACAGCGAGGACGACTCGGACTCGGCCGCGTCCGAGAGCGCCGGCTCGGCCGCCAGATCCCGCTCCCGCTCCGCGTCCGGCTCGCGCTCCGCCTCGCCGCGGGGCTCGCACCG